ATTATTATTATTATTATTACACAATGGCATGCCTACCTAGCTCCTTGGAACACATGCGTACCATGCCAGTATTTCTCAAACTTCCCTCGTGCATGAAGCATTTTATTTGGGATAGGGTTATGTTAATCCGTCCTTTTTGCACACAACCTCATGCTAAGTAGTTCCTGTGCGAAACTGCGCTGCTGTTAAGATCGGCCACGCCACCGAAGCAAAAACCTAATTGACATTGCCCGATGCACGCCGTATAGGAAAACATAGCTACGTCTAGTCACGTACTATTTATTCGCGGTTGATGGTACAATCTGTGTTTATCTCTATTACACTCTTCGATGACCTACGTAGAATCCAACGAGGTCGTGAACTCGCCTCTTAATGGCTGTAGTGAAAACGATATCGTTGCTGTAATTTAAAAAAAACGATCATCGTCATTGTCCTGCTGCTTCGTCACACACACGCGATTTTTTGTCCAGACTGGCGTCCATCGAAGTGACAGTTCGTTTATTACGCCGATAACAGGTTCATTGGGGCCCGCCACTGTTTCAGTGTCACGATGTGCCCCACCGTAGTGGTCTAGTGGCTAAGGTACTCGGCTGCTGACCCGCAGGTTGCAGGATCGAATCCCGGCTGCGGTGGCTGCATTTCCGATGGAGGCGGAAATGTAGGCCCGTGTGTCCAGATTTGGGTGCAGGTTAAAAAGCCCCAGGTGGTCTAAATTTCCGGATCCCTCCCCTACGGCATTTCTTATAATCATATGGTTGTTTTTGAGACGTTAAACCCCACCGGTATTACTTAGAGGAGTCATCTCACTCTTACTTCGTCTGTAGTCGTTGACCAACAGAGACGGGCCCTATCACTTTTGTGGCGTTCGCAGCCCGGCACACGACTTCTCTACCAAGTCTCTCCTTCGTTATTGAAGTATATATTTTACTGACTCAAGAAAAAGAGGAGCGTGGTACAGGCCATTGATTTTAACAAAATTAATGGTGTTATAAACCTCCTCAACATCATCTATGTAATAAGCTCAACCTAAAGCTTGCATACTGATCCTGAATACTTAATTAGTATAAAAAATGCTGTAAGTGAACACTATCAACCAATATGGTGGGCTATAGCCTAAAGATAGCCTTACATAGGTTAAATCACTATTTGTAACAGCTTAACGAAGAGCGTTCAATGTCCTCGATATCAGAGATCTTTCGTTGGAACAATTCCATAAAACAGCGTGTGTCAGCACACTTTAGCCAATATTTTTAATCAAAATAATAGAATATACTAGGTCACAACTTGTTGCTTTTATTAGGCCTTTTGACCCATCTTGTGGGCAAACTGGTCGATGGCCTTACGCTGCCTTTGTTTTCTTCTGCGATTAACTCGTGACACCTTTTCTGCATTATGTATCACAAAGTGGCAAAGTACGCTTCACAAAAGAAAATGCATAACTGTGAAAGGAGACGCTAAAATTACGGAAGACATGATGCAGTGAAACCAATTTAATAGGATGGTATAGAAGGCTCTATCTAACTTCTCTGTCTTAATTCGTACTCTGTGCTCAAAAATTAGAGGTCCAATAAATCATATCACATTGATATTGGTGATAAAATGTTCGTTGTTGAAGGTTGATAAAGTGCTCGTTAGCGCAACTGGCGACTGCTGACCGAATCACACATTTACAATTATATTACTGCGATAGCACTTATATGGACACTCTCGGCTGGATGTTGCCGCCAGCACCACCGTCATTCACCGTATATCTATCTATCTATCTATCTATCTATCTATATATATATATATATATATATATATATATATATATATATATATATATATATATATATATATATATATATATATATATATATATATATATATACCTGTGTGTGTGTGTGTGTGAAGACTAAAAAACAAAAATAATCCAGAAAAAGAAAAAGACTCCGGCGAGAGGAATCGAACGTCTGACCTTTTGTTCGTGAGCGCGCGGCGTTAGCCATCGAGCAAGCTACAAATGGCAAGCTACAAACGGCAACCAACAAACGGCAAGCTATTTATATCTACAATGATAGAAATAGCGTGTTTTCAGCATTACCAGCGAGATGGCGCGATGAGCTCGCTCGCTCGTAGGATGAGGTCGGCGCCCAGCTCTTCGCGATGCGCTGATGCGCACTCAACTCACACGCGTGCTTTGCTCCACGGAGGGAAAGAGCCTTATCCGCGCACTTATCCTGTGGTGGGGGAGAATCACGTGCCTTCGACTTTAACTGGAACAATTGCGTCTAGTTCCCGCACACACAAAGATTACTTCGCTCGCTGGACAGGCCCCGTTTGCGAAAAGAGCGCTCTTTTCAAACACAGCGAAGTAACAACTGTGGCATGTAGGCCCGTGTGCTCAGATTTTGGTGCACGTTAAAGAACCCCAGGTGGTCAAAATTTCCAGAGCCCTCCACTACGGCGTTTCCCATAATCATATAGTGGTTTTCGGACGTTAAACCCCACATACCAAAATCAATCAACAACTGTGGTACTTGCTAGTTCGCACTCATATCTGTACTTGTGATTACGTTTCGTGCCTCATTTTCCTTTCAACAGCGCGTTAAGTGTCGAGCTGTAAACGTATTTAGTTGGCTCTCGTCCTGTGTGTGTTGTTTTTGTGCGTCATTTGTGCGTGAGCAGCGCGCTGCACGTTTCGATCTGCTTGCCGTTCTCAGCGTTACATTTCAAGTTTTTGCTATCACATTCATTGCTTCGCTCTTGCGGCGAAACTGTGACATCTTTCACAGTTTCGTTAACGTTAGCTTGGGCACGCCGCTTAAGCAATGTGTGCCTTAGTTCCTTACCAACTGACCCCCCTTTCCCGCAGGTCGCGGCCACATTTTCTATGGAGGCGAAAATGCTTGACTTTCATGTGCTTAGGTTTACATGCACCTTAAAGAACCCCAGATGGTCGAAATTTCCGGAGCCCTCCACTACAGCGTCTCTCATAATCATATGGTGGATTTGGGATGTTAAACCCCAACAATTATTATTATTAACTAACCCCCTTCCGCAGGTTTGGGCGTCCTGCAAAGCGTGCTTCACCTCTTGCTGATTCATAATGCAAAAAAGTTGACATTACGTTAACATAAAAAGGGTGGTGTGGTGATCTAAATTTGATGGGGAAAAAACGAGGAAAGGGTAAAAGTGCACACGGCACGCAAACTTGAACTACTTAGTCTATTTCAGGAAAGCAACAGGGTTGACGTCAAGCCCGGCTTGCCATAAACTCTTTCAATACCGCCGCAGCAAGTTAATGAGCACGGCTGGCAGAGTAGAAGGAATCAAAAGCAGTCCTGATCTTCACTTTTCGTTCGCTTGTTTATTCGTGACATGACCCTGTACCCTTCATACCGGGTGTTTTAAGGAATGTGTCCAAAATCCTAAAAAAGTATGGAAAATGTGATATTTGTTCAGTGCCTTCACAATTACTTCTTTTGTAACTGCAGGCTTCTTGAGACAGTTACATACATGATTTCGGATAGTAATTGAGAAACTTTAGTTACTCAACTTTTAATTAGAAGAGTGAGGTGGTTATGTCAAACAGGAGAATTGAGTTCTTTGTGTGATGAATCGATCATAGCTTCATATATAGAAAAAGCGCCTTCTTGTAATGATTATGGCATCATAAAATTTAATAGAATTCTACGTGAAACCGACTCAGAAGCACCGATGAGCGCAACAAACAGATGGCTGTCCAAGCTAACTATTACAGAGGCGTAGTGTTCTTCTGCGTTCGCTAACGTATGAGCGTCATGCGTGCTACTGTTGCAAGCACAGCCTTCACACCTACACAACGAAGTCGGTCGATGGTTGATATGAAGACGCGCTCACTCAATCTGAACGCCTCAGATGAATATGGCAGTTGCGTTTTTCCCTGTTTCTGTTTCACCACTGAATGTGGTTGGCTTTCATTACTTCCCAATTATTCCTCGAGGCCGCTTTTTTGGGAATTTCACAGCTGTGGTGGGTTTTTTGCGTGAAATAGTTCAATTAACCTATCTGACATAACCACCAAACTCTACTAATTAAAAAGGTAACTAGTTTAACTTTTCAATTGCCGTCCGAAATGATGTATTTAGTCATCTTAAGATGGCTACGTCTAAGGAACAAGTAATTGTATCCTACTTTATGTTCTTGGTCTGTAATTGTCTTTGTGTATCCTTGTTCAACCCCCCCCCCCCCACCTTATGTATTACCCTCTCAGGAGCCCTTAACAAAAAAAATAAATTATGATGATGATGATTGTGAAGGTAACAAACATATATCACATTTTCTTGTTTGTTTTTTAGAAGTTCGGACACATTTTTTGAAGCACCTGGTATAAGTCGCAGGCTGCACATCATGCCGTGTGTTTATCGGCATCGCAACAGCATACATGCGCTGTTATGAGTGCGCGAAGTAAATTGCTCGCATGTGTGACAGGCTAGGTTTTAAATATTCTGAGAACAGAACAAAAAATATGTGTGTGAAAAATCAAAGAGAAACGAGAAATCTGGCTGCAAATACACATGTGGGTATACCACTACTGCAAGCTGCCGAAATAGCGCACATCAACACAACCACACACTCATACACACATATACGTGGTGCTTTCAGAAATATGTTAAAAAATTGTCAGAGATATGGGAAATGTAATATTTGCTCGCTGCCTTCTATTTTTTTTTTCTTTGGCGACCGCTACCTTAACACCACAAAAATATTTATAAATAAGCAAGCGTTGTTGAATACAATATACTGCTCACATGTGCACATAATACCTGTGTATACAATGTCCGAAATATTCATCAAGCTGGCGTGTTTGCCGGAAATACCTTTTGTGTTGTGTAAAACAAGATAGTCGTCAAGAGGAAAAACGTTTTTAATGCTAGAACAATGCTTGTGTACTAATCTGTAGGCATGGGTGTGAGTATAGAATCAATGCCATGCGCCAGACTAAGGCGTAAGCCATGTGTCCAACTTGGCTGTCGCAGGTGGTGAAGCTGATTCTGCAGGGCATACTGCTCAGTCCACCCGAGGAGTGTCCGCCGCACGTGTGCACCTTGATGGCCGGCTGCTGGAAGACGGAGCCGCGCGACCGCCTCAGCTTCAGCGACATCTACAAGCGGCTCGTGGACACACACCCGCCACCTCCGCCGCCGCAGGACGAGCAGGAGCCCCTCGAAGAAGAGCTGGACAGCGAAGACTACCTGGTTCCCAAGGCTCCGGCCACGACCCGCCACCAACCATGGTGAAAGGAGCGCACACAGTTTGCCTCCCTTCCATTTGGAGGCCAGTGGCGCTCTCAGAGTTCACCAGGCTCACCATAAGGTTGTGGGAGCTCGCCGATCGGGCGGTTCTCGATTTGTGTGTGATGTACGGTATAGGTTGATGACGTCATTTCGGGGAGGCTTCGCTTCCGTGTCGTGGGTCTTACGTTGAAAAGGCACTGCGTAAGATTTGAAATTTTCACGTCAAACGTGTCGAAAGAGCATCCGATACTTCGAGAGTTGATTGTTACATCTTGTAGGGCAAGGTGTAACCTTACGTGTTGCAGCGAGACATACGAAAAAAAGGCCGGGCATGGCAGTGCGTCAGATCATGTGCGAGAACTAAAGTTATAGTGCTCAATTTCCTCTAACTACGTCCGGTCATTTGACGATAGTGCGGTCAGTTGCGCAACTGAATCTGTTACTATGAATAAACTGCGCTCGTCCCTACGATGCCTACTGCAGCCGCCATTGCAAGCTACGCAACATGGTATACCGTATCCTTTCGACAGCTATTGCACAAAATGCATGTGTTTCCATGCAGCACGATTCTTGTGGTGTATGTTTGGAAGCGAACGGGACATGCAAGAGTATAGCATACATCTGTTTTTTGACGTACGAGGAGTGCTTTGACTGGAACAGTGACAAACGAGCCATGTCGCTAGATGAAACCCTGCTCTTGTTAACAAGCATAGACGAAAACCTTCAAAGGATTCCACTGAGGTTGCTTCATCTTGACATTGTGCACCATAGTCTATTCTCGTATAACCTGTACAAGGACTGCTGCTGTTTGCAGGAAGTGTTTGCCAGAAGATTTGACGGAAGGAATGAGGCGGAGCATTTGTATGCAGCTTTAATGGAGACTCGCTGTTCGAGGGAGCTTACAAGCAGATATAACAGTTTCTTTTCATTGCCATGAGGAGCGGTAATAAACAGCAGCGCTACTGCTTTTGATTAACGTCTTCCTGCAAGCGCACGTCCACCTGGAAGTCTGTTGTAAGCGGCTCATCTCGCCATACCTGCTACGACGATTTCTTTTAGACGCGATCTGTGGCATCACGTGCTTCTTTGCGCAAATCGGCGATTTGTGTCATCTGTTTCAAGTACACATCCGCTCCCACCTTTATATTTCTCAAATGCGTTTGTGTAAGCAGTGTTCGTGTTTATATTTATTGTATTTATTTCTTAAACGTGTACAAAGTGTCACAGTGTAATCGTTTGTGTACATAAACTGCATCACTGCATCCACATGTGTGCGTAGGCTAAGTCAGACATGTCTGTACAGCGTTGCATGAGATGCTCCAATCTGTTAGCCAACGCGCCGACAGAAGCACAAAGTCATGTTGAGGTACATACACAAAACGGTCAAGAGCTCTAATTTTTGTGGAGATACGGCGACACAGAAGGAACTACACAGCATTTGTGCAGCGGCTCTATGTATGTGGAACGGCTCAGGCAGATTAGCACTGCTCAATCACTTATCTTTCATTCGCTTTAAAAAAAAACAGGCACTTTAGAGTGTCATTTACTTTACAAAAGATCTCAATGTACTCTATATGTATATGTGAAAGCAGTGGCACTCTGCATGTGTATTCGTGAATAGAAACGCCGCCACACTCGGAGAGCACTTGAAAAAGCGAAGTTACTTGGCCTTCGCCCGCTGGGTTGCGGAGTTTTATCACCGCTGTAGCAGCTACCCGGAAGCGCTCCAATAAGTTTCTACGAGGCGTTCTAAGAGTACCGATTCAGGCTCGAACTCATACGGTCTTTTTTCTAGCTTGAAAAGCGTAGCCGCCTGCAGGACGCATAAAAAGTGTGTACTCCACTCGTAATCGGAGGCCGGAATAATTAGCCGTAAGGCCCACCATAGATGGCCAAGTGCTCGTCAGGGCAAGCTTGCACATTCAAAAAATGCGCCATCCTTGTCGTTTTGAATCGCTGTGGCACGTTTCTGTAGTACCTTAACATTGACATAATCAAGCTACTACTACCGTCCCTGCCTAAGGGCTCCATTGTAGTCAAAGCATATCCAAAGAGAACGCAGTTCAGTTACCTTCTTCTAAGACGGCTTCGTGAAGGTCTCGTGCAGTGAGTGAGGTTGACGTAAAACTTGAAAGATTACTGCTGATTCGGACAAAGAATCCACAACGGCGGCGACTACTAAAAGCAAAGCTCACGCAAATATGTTAAATATGACGGTTTTACGGGTGTCTCAGTTGTTCCTTGTCGTGTTCAGTTGGCCAGAGTCTACAAATGCAGTGTCTGTGATAGTTGTTCGTCTCATCCGAAATGCACCGCACATAATATCGGCACAGGACTTTTCGGAGATATTGATGCACCTGGGCGTAGAGTGGTCACTCGACTGAACAATATATCATATCCCCGTCGTTTATTTTTGTCTTGTGTCGGCCGCAGACCACGCGACAACGTGTTCAACGAGTTAAATCCAAGTGTTGTTGTTGCTTGTATTTTGGCCAGCGTAAACTGAAAATTATCGTCACATGTGATGTAACACCTCTTAGTTTGAAATCATATACGCACGAGTAGCTAGGCTGATTCACGCTGTGAATTCATCAAATTTTGTTAACTTGATATCTGCTTGTTATCCGCTAAACGCGTTACCTGACGTCAGAATTGCTCAGGACTACGCTCCTTTTCCTGTATTTTTTTTTACTACGGGTATTTTTGCCTTACATTGCCCTCCTCCCTGCTGTAATTCTCTCGCCACTTCATTTTACCGATGTAGGGCAGACTGCAGTTCGGGCCCCGCTTAAAAACCACGCCCGCGAAGCTTGTCTAATTATCTGATCAGATTCACCAAGAAGTTTAAAATAGAAAAGTGATTCAGCAACTATTCTTCCTGATCGGACACGGTAAAAACAATAAAATAATGAGAAAAGAACATTCCGGCCGTTCCAGTAGTTCCAGAAAAACAAAAAACACGATACGTGAATTTAAATAATCAATTATTGATTACACCAAGTGGCTACGCATAACTGTTTACTTCGAACTAAATTGGGGAGAAAAACTTTTCCTGCGTCTTGCATTACAAGCACCTCATTTATTTGTTCCGGCTGCTCGCAGGTTGATGAATGCACACTTTCTGAGACACTCTTTGCCCCGCCCCGAAAACGCCGCTTCATTAATCACGCATTGTGTACAGCCATCAAAGAGAGCATTCGTTAGCGCAACTCGCGGTGTAATTAGTTACTAAGGCGACTTCTGCCGACGAGCGTCCTTATCCGTGGAGCAGCCGTGTTCGAAGCAAATGTCTTTTTTTTTTTCTGCAGGCGTGTACGCACGATGTCACCGCGGCATGCTCCTGGGGGTTCACACGTGTTCAAATTTGGGAGTGTCCGTACTTGGGCACACGAGGAGCTGCAAAAGGTTTAGCGTTAATCTACTCTTAGGCCCCGCTGAGGGCGGATTAATTTCTTTGATGCAGCTCGCGCGAATCGCGATCCGCGGAAGGCGCCTCCTAGAACTTGGCGGGACTCTTTAGTGCAGGGCGCAAACTATGAACCGCAGCGAGGCGAAACTACATGCAACAATGTTTCCAGCATTTCATCAACTTTTCCGGGCGCTTCTACAATAGTCGCCTTAGCAATGTGCTTGGCGCTTGCGTTTGACTGCGCTCCAATATATATATATATATATATATATATATATATATATATATATATATATATAGTGCAGTAGATCCTCCGTGAGCGGTCACAACGTGGTTTATTTCGACGTTTCGGCCTAGAGTCTGGCCTTCATCAATGTGCTTGGCCTTCATCAGTGCCACTGCTTTCACAGACCCTAGGCCGAAACGTCGAAATAAACCACGTTGTGACCACTCACGGAGGATCTACTGAACTATATGCAACGCTACGCGGCCACTCAACCACCATGCCTGCATATATATATATATATATATATATATATATATATATATATATATATATATTGCAAATTGCAGATCGAGCGACACTGCCGAATATCTCCGGTCTCACTTTTTTTTTCCTGTTTTTGTGCCCATTATAATAAAAGCAGGGCAAGGTGCTTACGTTAGAGGCCATGTTCAAATTATAGTGTGCGTATAATTCACTTCTGACTTGTCCCTGTAGATTTAGATGAGTTTGCATACTGAATGGGCGCTTAACAATCGAGAAAGCTTTTTTCGATCCCGTCAGCTGTCGAACTTGCACCTTTTCAGAGCTACGTTTTCTCAAATTCAGCATCGCCCGAACTCCTAGTCATGCCATTTTGCGTCACCCTTTCACCAGCGCTAGTGCCAACAATCATGCTAGACGTAACCAATCGCCTAAAACGCAGCCATGAAGCAGTTATACTTTTCGGTACGCAGACCACGCGCTTTCAATCGTACGGGCGAGCGAGCTCAATAGTGTGGAAGTGTTAAACGGTATTTACATAGCAGAGAGCCGCCTCTTGGTCGTTGATGGCCCTTCGTACACATTTCGCGTTTCGCTGTAATAACACTGGCCTCAGCGCCTATAAAGGACCCCTTCACAGCAAAAGTTTTGTTCATGACTTTTTAGCCTTTAATTTGTAGCCTTGTGTCTGGTAATGCCGAAATTTAATCGTGAATGTTCTAACGTATCATGTAATTCATTCTAGCGCCGTAAATTGTGAATAATTTTTTTGCGTAACTTCAAAACGACCACATAAAATCGTAACCCCCCCCCCCCCCAGCGCGGCAGCACCAGTGAGCACGTGTGCTCAAGCTCAGGTGACGCGGGGGGGGGGGGGGGGTGAACAATAAACGATGCGGATGCTTTCAACATGTCCCCTCAGGAACAAAGAAAATCATTATAAGCGTAAGCAGCGAAAACCACCTTGAGAGCAGCCCCACAACAGAGCGAGAGATGCGAGGAGGAACAATAGTACTCATCAGATGCCAGTCGTGGTTTCGTGTGCGCCCCGTGAATGTTCTGCGATGCCGACATTATACTCGCTTTTTGTGTGTGGAACGTCAAAGC